AACATACATGGCTGGAGAGGTCATAGATTCTAGAGAAAACCCTATCTCTGTCATATTTCTAGACAAATGAAAATTTTAACTGTATGCTGTTCGGATCCTTTTATTTATGGACAAGTGTACTGTACACCACTCATCAAAGAAGCTTCTTTTTGTAACAGGTGGAAGCTATTGAAAAGTCCCACAACTGGTCACACACAGAGAATATATATGTCTGAGAGATTCCAAGACCTAAGTGACACACCTACAGTGGAACCTTGACACTTAAGGCTCATGGAACTTAGCAGAACAGGGCAAAGAGAATACTCATACATCCCTAAACTCTCTCCAGTAAAACTTCTTCATACAACATGGTGTGATGTACACAGAAGGCCACAACTGGTTATGTTTTAAAGAATAAGAGACTGCATAGTGTCTGTCTCTGTATAGTACTCTTATGTTAAGCCTCACCCACCCATAGCTCAGGGACCATTGCCAAAGAGGGGATAAAAACACAGTAAAAGCCAGTGTTTGTCCATGAACATAAGGAAACAGGGGCTTTCAGGACACTGGAAACCTGCTGTTATGAACTTACAATAATGGTGACAGCATGCACAAGACCCAGGCTAACTCAGTCAGACAAAAGTCCAGCATAGAACTGGGGAAATGGGGACTCCAGTTAATGAACTTGACTGAGAGACAACTGGGTACAAATGCTTGACCAGATAGGACTTAATATATATGACAGAATGCATGAAATCTGGAGGGTAAGGGCTATGGGGGATTGATGGGAGAAGCGTTCTGACTTTGATTAAGATATAAGAAATGCACAAAAAATCAATAAATATATTAAGAAAAAGGACATGTCATATTTGCATTTCCATATTTCTAACTAAAAGAGCTCTGACTCTGTTCTTTGATAATTTTTAACTTCTTCACTAAGGGCATGGTCTTAATACTCATTCATGCCTTCTCACTCTGATTTTGAAAAACTTTTCTTCCTTCTGCAGTTCCCATTCAATATCTCCACTATTTCTCTTGTCTCTTTTCAAGCAATTTCTTAGAAAAAAAATTTACTGTGGCAGAAAATGTTCATCATAGCTTTATACCTATTCTTTTATCTTTTGATAAAGATTTGTGCCACTAAAAAGTGAAAAATATATCCTTATCAGTGGAATAGATTGAAGGTTATATGGAAAATTGCTTAGTTTATATATAAATTGTGTGTATGTGCGTCTGTGTCTGTGTCTGTGTCTGTGTCTTTGTGTGTGAAGAAATCAGACAACAACCCGGGGGTAGGTCCCTTTGTTCCAGCTTGTGTGAGATGGAGCCTGCTGTTCCCCTGGGTCTGCCAGGCGAGCTGGCCATGAGCTTCCAGGAATTCTCCTGTCACCACTCCTCATCTCATCACAGTAGTACTGGGTTTAGAGATGCAAGCTAGCATGCTTGGCCTTAGGTGGGTTCTGGGAAACTGAACTCAGGGCCTCACATTTGTACCAGCCCCTCGTAATATAATCTTAACCAAGGTAGCAATTATTTCTTCTCTGCTCCCTCTCATCTTCCTTTTCATTGTCACATGAGAAAAATTTTTTGCATTTCAATATCACTTTGATAATGGAAGCAATTGGAATGGAACAACAAAAGACAGGATTTTCAATACTTCAGGTCCCCAAATCAGTAATCTAACATTTCAAATGTATTGATTTACTAAAATTAGTTTTTTCAACTCTAAGCCATGCTTACCTTTCCTGTTACTCACAGTCAATGACAATATATTTAAATCTGCCAAGCAGCTACTATCACTATTCAAGCCACTCAAATCTAGGTTAAGAAACATCATTCAGTGCACATCTATTATTGTCACCAAAGACATAGTACTCAGTGTTTGATAGCCTCTGCAAGAAAAAGCATTCCCTCTGCCTCAGCTATTTCATATCTATATTCTAAATGTTTTAACATATTTTTACACCAAGGAGCACATGCATGTGGCATTTCTCAGTAATTTGGGAATAATTCAAACCTATTATGCTTGGGGGTGATGAGTCTGAGTGTGGCTCTGCTAACCCAGCCCCACCAGGCCTTCCGGATTCACTGGGGACCAATGTTGTGAGTAAATGTGTGACCAACTGGTCCTCTGCTACTATGATATGGCATATTCTTAAAGTAACATGGTTATAGATATCGGAACTCTTTTAAATAACACCTTTTCTTCCTAAAACATTGCAGAAATGTGGGACCTAGGATGTAGCTCAGTGCTGTGTGCTTCTGTAACAGCCCTTGCCTTATATACTCCTGCAGTTTCACTGATATATAGATGAATACAGACTCAATTCTATATATACATTACTGACACCAGACTGAAAAATGCAGCTACTGAGAAGAACAGAAGTCTTCCCTGCATGACTATCAGAATATATACTTTAATATTTTAATTCCTTTCATCTTTATTACTATTACCATTTCAAACTCAATTGTTCATTTTTTTTTGAGAAAGGCTCTTGATATGTAGCCCTGCCTGTCCTTTGAATCATGATCCTCCGACTTCAAACTCCCAAGTGCTAGTAGTACAAATGTCCCAATAAACCTAAATAAGTAGCATGTGTCATCTTGTTATTCTTTCTTCCTCCATATGCAATGAAAAAATAATATCCTTAATTGTCTCAGAGCACCCAGAATTACAAAACAACAACAACAAGAAGTAACAACAAAACCCACATTATGACTCACAAACTGTCAAGAACGTAAAATTGTTTGCTAGGTGGTTAGTTTGCTTGTTTGTATGATACGGTCCAAAATGACTACATTTTTGTGAATAAAGTTGAGAAACACAAAAAGTGACTTAGCAGCATGCAGAGTATCTGTAGATGAGGAGAATGCTAGATCAGAGCTTAACACTTTACTAATCATTGTGCTGTCTGTCTAATATTACAAAGTTTTAGCCTTCTGTTGTTTGACTAATATTAAAAAGTTCTGGCCTTCTGAAGATCTAAGGAATCTTATGCTTAGAGAATACATGTAACCAATGAATAGTATAATATCATATGTGATTTATTAATTTTATCATAGTATATTATAACAAAGTATATTATAACAAAGGTGTTATTCTTTTTATTTTATACAGGAGAAAATTGTTTCCCAGAGATTAAGGAGTTAAACTAATATACTGATCTGATATTAGATTATGAGTTGTACAAGTGCAGAGCTCTTGTCAGGCTAGGCATAACTCCTAGTATCCAGAAGACTATCTGATACTTAGATGTACTCCAATGATGTCTGTTAAATGGATGAATTATGGGGAGTTGGTAATAAGTGGGAGGCTTAAAGTCCATGATGTTTTGGTTCTAAATCCTGCTTTTATAATCACTGAGACTGCAGGTACTCAGTATATGGTTATAGAATGGATTGCTACATCTTTGTATAGACCACTATAACACATAAATATAGATTTTCAGTCTATAAGAAATTGAATCACAGGGCCGGAAAGATGGCTCAGCAGTTAAGAGCCTTGGATGCTCTTGCAGAGGACCCAGGTTGGGTTTCCAGTACCCACGTGGTGGCTAACACCTGTCCTTTACATCAGTTCCTGGGCATCCGATGCCTTCTTCTGGCCTCTGCAGGTACCAGGTATGCATGCAGTTCACAGGTGAAAACTCATACACAGAAAATAAAAATTGAAAAAAAATTTTTAAAAGAAATTAAATCATACCTAATGACGCTGCTCAGTGAATTTCAGAAAGAATATTATTTTGTGCTTTTAATTTTTCTTAATATGATGTATCAAGTATGGTTGTATTAAAATGACTAGCCACAGATGACGTTTCACTATGCCCAACTGCAATATAATTACAAATTTCAATATAAGGAACTGGAGCACATTTCAACTATATGTCCTTGGGCAGGAACTTCCAGCTCTGAGACATAAATTCATAAAAAGTAAATCATGTCACCCACCTGATCAGTAAGAAGGAATT